GGAGCCGCCTCGCCTTCAGGAACTGATGCTTCTCTCAGCTTCCCAGCTTCTTCTCTGAGGTTAACACCACAGCCTTGTTTTTCCACTGCATCTGCTCCCAAGCACCCATGACCACATCAGTGGCTACGTGAGCTCCGTTCCGGGGTTGCTGGTGGCATCCTTGGGTGCTGGCTGCAGTGCCTTGGTGCTGTCTCTGGGCCCTTGCTTTACCTGAGCAAGGTGAGGTAGAAAGCAGCTCTGTCAGAGGAGTATAATCTCATTTCACTCCACCTCAGGAAAAGGAGAGGCAGAAGCTGGAGACTCTGAGGAAGAAGCAACAAGCTGAGCAGCTGAGAAAACAGAAACTGGAGGAGGAAAAGAAACGGCGACTGGAAGAGGCCAAGCTGTGAGTGTTTGCTCTGTGCCCTGGCCAGGCTGCTCTCTGCCCCTGCAGGTCCCCAGGGCCAGGTCTCTTATCCTGCACAGTCCATGCCTGCAGCAGAAATTCCTGTTGCCTTGCTCTCCCTCCACAAAGAGTGTTTGCTCTTTTCTCTATTGAGAGTGCTAATGACAAGTGAAACCGCCCTGGCTGCTGCTGCAGCTTCTTGTCTCGGGTCCTCTGCCTCGGGGTCAGAAATCCCCTGGTGTTTGACGCTGCTGTACTTGGCCCCCTGAAGTCCTGCTGCCCCAGAGCCGTGTCTGTGGCCTCGTGTGTGAGTGCAGGGAGCTCTGGTGGCTGGGCTGCAGTGCTGAGGCCGGGCTGTGTCTGCAGGAAGCGGGAGGAGCGCCTGCGGAAGGTGCTGCAAGCTCGGGAGCGGGCAGAGCAGATGGAGGAGGAGAGGAAAAGGCGGATTGAGCAGAAGATAGCTCTGTTTGATGAGAAGACAGAGAAGGTAAGGCCCAGTGTACGTGGAGCACAGGTGCTCTGCTGAGTGAGGTGATGGCACACAAGTGTGCCTTCCAGAAAGAGAGGAACCGAGGCTGCTTGAAATTCAGAGAACGAGCTGGACAACAGTGGGATAAAGAACGCTGCAGAAGCTGGGTGATCGGGTGGCTGCCCTGCTCTTGGTTACAGCAAATAGCAGCTGAACCCCCTGATTTTCCAGAACTGTGATTCTCTAAATGGGCCTCATTAAGGCTCTGTTAGATGAGAGAAGAACTTCCAGTAGCTAAAGCCATGCTAATGGCTCTGATGCTTGATCTCCTTGAAGCTGTTCTCCCATCTGACCATCTGAAGAGGTGAAAATAAACCACTTCCTCCAGACCCTCTCTTGTATCTGAGACTGAGGCAATTTGCACATGCAGCCAGAGCAGTCCTTTGTCTGCTTCAATTATCTCCATCTGCATTTTCTGTTCATGGTTTTGAGAATACCTGGTGATGGCTTTTCTGGTATTAGGTGTATAATGCAATACCCAGCTCTTCCTGTGGAGATGGAAAAGGTCATTTCCCCAAGTGTTACCCTTTCAAATCAAGTGCAGGTCCCATTGGTTCCTGCTGGGAAAGGAAGAAGCTTTTGCCCCATGAGGGGTGGCAGCTCTGCATCCTGCTGTGGTATTGCACAGGACGATCCCACCCGACGCTGGGTGCTCAGCTGGCTCTGTGAGTGAGTGTGTGTGTTGTAGGTGCGGGAGGAAAGGCTGGCAGAGGAGAAGATCAAAAAGAAAGCAGCTGCCAGGAAGATGGAGGAGGCAGAGGCCCGGCGCAGGCACGAGGAGGAAGCCAGGAGACAGAGAGCCCTGCAGCAGGTCTGTGCTGGAGCCCTCGTCCTGGTGCAGTTAGAATGGCCACAGCCCCTGCAAGCAGGAGAACTGACACGAGCCCACTGAGTGCAGATCAGGGAGGTGCAGACTGTCTGTCCTGGAAGCCCTTCCTAGTGTTGTGCTTCCCCCTTCTGCAGGATGCTGTGAGCTGTCAGTGGTGACCCACGTTCCTTCCTCCACGTCTGGACAGGTTCTCACTAGAGACCTTAATTTGTGATTGATAGTATGAAGATTTCTGCACTAAACCTGTCTCTCAGAGATGGGACTGTGGTGGCCACCAGGCCCTTTGGGGTCCATTGTGGGCAGGGAGAGGCCAGCACTGAAATAGCACCTACCTTGAAAGCACTTGGGACTTCAGCCCCGAGTTGTTTCCCCGCTGTGTAGTGATAGGTGCTGGAGGCTTGGGTTGAATAAGGTGTTCCTGCTCCTTTGTGCTGGAGCCTGTTCCTGTACAATGTGAGTAACTGCCTTGTTGGGCTTACCAGGAGGAGGAGGAACGTCGGCACAAAGAGCTAATGCAGAAGAGGAAGGAAGAGGAGCAGGAACGTGCCAGGAAGATTGCTGAGCAGAGACAGGCAGAACAGGAGAGAGAGAAGCAGTTGGCTGCAGAGAGAGAGCTGGAGAGGAAGAAGGAACAGGAGAGGATCCAGGCAGAAAAGTAAGACAACATCCACTCACATACTGAGTTCTGTGTTGGGAACAGCAGCAGGAACAGAGACAGACTCAAGCAGTGAAGAGCTACTTTGTGCTGTCTGCACAACATCCTGGTACTGAGCTGCCAGAAGACATTCTGGGCTCAGTAATGTAGGGACTCTGGTGGGAGTGCCCTGAAAAGCTGTGAGGAACCAAGGGGTTGATGCAGGCTCAGGATGAGAGTGTGCCCTGGTGTGGTTGTGAGGGTAATGGTCTGCTTTGACCCTCAGGCTCCGTGAGCAGGAGAAGGCTGCTCGCCTGAAGAAGGAGGTGCTGGCTGCTAAACTGAAACTCCAGAAGGAGCTGGAGAAGAAAGAAGTAAGTGCTCCCTTGTTGTGGATGGGTAGAGCCACGTGGATCTGACTTCAGGAGCTGTTCCTGCTGGGAGCAGCTCAGCTGTGGAGCTGTTGAGAGCCCTGCTGGGTGAGCTGTGGCACTCCTGAGCTTGAGCTGCCTGAAGGTGGCCCCTTGGTCCCTCTTGGGAGGCAGGCTTGCTCTCTTCATATGGCAGCACTGCTGGAGGAAAGGACAGGTAACGCACACGCCGAATCCAAGTGAGGTTCTCTGCTTGTCTGTGCTGAGGGCATCTGTACCTCTCTTGAGAGCAAACAATAATTAATCCCTGACTTTTCAGAAGCAACACCTCAATTTCATGTTTGTGTCACCCTCAGCAGAGCTCAAGTGCAGGCTGCAGCCTCTGCCAGCTTATCTTCTGCAGCGTGGGGCCAGCACACAGTAACCATGTGGGTGGTTCTGCTTGTGGTGGTGAAGGGAGCAGTGCTGCTGCCTTGGCAGCCCCTGCTGCTGAGATCCCATCTCAATCTCCCCTCTGGCAGGTTAAAGCCATCCCCCTTGTCAGCTCCCTACAGGCCCTTGTCCAAAGCCCCTCTCCAGGGTTCCTGGAGCCCCTTTAGGTATTGGAAAACTGTTCTAAGGTCTCCCCGGTAGCACAGATGTTTCCATCTGCAGATGTCAGCTGGTTTCTGGTGCTGATATCCAGAAGACACAATCAGTAACAAGCTCTTTGGAGCATGAGGTCGCTGTTGTCAGAGGAAGGCAGCTCATGCTCTCAGATGGGAACATTGGTCTGTGTGTGCCGCTTGCTGAGGGAAGCTCAAACTGTTGCGTTGTGTTTGGTTGCTGTCTGTGCCATGCTCGACGTGCTCCTCAGCATCACCAGGGGCAGACACTTGCAATTAGATGCTTAGATATTCTTTTGGATATCAGAAATAACGGCCCCTGGACTAAGAGCGTGGCTGAGTTGGTTGCTTGGTTGGTTGCCTGCTTGGTTGACTTGTGGTGTTGGCTTTCCAGCAGGAAGAGCAGAGGCTGGCAGAGATGAAGAGGCAGGAGCAAGAACAGAAGAAGCTGGCAGAGAAGCAGCAGGCTGGCAAAGCAGCCCTAACACAGCAGCAGGAGAACAAAGAGGTAATGGTTCTCTCCAGCGAGATTCCTTAGGGGATGACAGCAGAGAATGAGTCCAGCACTGACACACTGCTCCAATGGGCAGTTTGAATCCGCTTTTTCTCTTCCCTTTCAGTGCAAAGGGTTCCGTAAACTGCTTTCTTGGTTACCTGAGGTTGACTCCTGGTGGCCTTGAGCATTTAAGTGGCTTTTGGGGAGTGGAAGGAGGGAAGGGAAGCAGCAGCAAGTGTTTCCCAGGGTTTTTCTGTCGGGATAAGGCAGCGGCTGTTGTAGTTTGTTGCCTTCCTGAGCTGCTCCTCTTGAAACACTGAGTGAGCCCCACAGGCAGAAAGGGGAGAGGCTGAAAAAAGGATTTGTTACTGAGGGTCAAAGCTGGAAAGAGCCGCGGGGTGGCAGCAGAGGCTGCGGAATAGTGCTGAGTTGGGCCCCTGCTGGTGGACCTGGAGCCAAACCTGCAGGTGGACGTGGAGGCTTCACCGTTGAAACCAACCACCCGGATCTCCTTGTGAAGCTCCATGTTGTAACCTTAAGTGCAAACCCAGTAAATATGAGTTAATGTTAATGGACACAAAGCCATGAGGAACCTCCTGGACGGGGAAAGCTCATTCCAGCTCCAGAGGCACGTCTCATGATTGGTGAAAGCTGCAGTTTTCCTTCACCACCTCAGTCATGGTGTTCCCATAAGAACAACAGTAGTTTGTCCCCAGCTTTGCAGGCATGTTCTCTACGTAGTAATAATCAGCTTCATAGTATTAAACAAGGCCAGAAGTTGGGCTGCAGAGCATTGAAAGCCCATGACTCAGCTCCAGCTTTGAGGATGTAGTAACTCCATTCAAGCCTTACTCGAATTGAATGGAACTCGTGTGTATTTGAGGCATCTGTCGCTGGCACGGTCACATCCCATGTGAAGGACCCTGGTCAAACAGGAGGAGCGATGCAAACCCTTCACTGGGTCAGAACTTGAGAGCTTGGGTCCAGTTCTTGGGTCAGAGCTTTGGAAGTGCCAAACTCCAGGGTTTGCAGTTCAGGTCAAAGCAGGAGGGGAACACGGAGGTGTCTGTGGCGCCGGGAGCGTTGTGGTGCTGCTGCCCCCGACACCCGGCACCGTGTTTGTCTTGTAGAACTCGCCTGCCTGCGCGTCGTACCAGATGACTCCACAGGGCCCCAAGTGTCCCAAGCCCCCCGTGGTAACCTCGAACAACTATGGGATGGATGTGAACAGCGATGACTCCACTGATGACGAAAGCCAGCCTCGCAAGCCCATCCCTGCCTGGGCCTCAAGTACGTGTTGGCGGGTTGATACCTGTCCCAGACCCCCCCAAGAAATCCTCCTGCAGCTTTGCTGCAGTGCGTAGTAAGACCTGGTGCGAAAGTTGGCCCAGTTCCTCCTGCTTGCACGTTTTAGGTAAAACAGTGTGCAGTGGTGTAACTGTGGTGTAACTGGAGTGCAGAGCCAGGGGATCTTGTGGGGATCTTCTTGTGACAGTGTTGGGGAACAAACGCTGTTTTAAACTGCCTTAAGAGAGCTGCTGGTGTGGAAGGAATAATCATGAACTGGTGCTCTGGCCTGGAGCCTGCTTTGACACTGGTTTGGCTCTAAAAAGCAAAGTCCTGCCAGATGTCATGGCCCAGGTTTCAGACAGGCTGTTGTTCTGGTTCTGAAACGCTCAATTCCATGATTTAACGTCACCTACCTCAGGGGAGCCGAGAACCCTGGAACAGTTTGTGTTGGAGGAAGCTTAAAGCTCCTCCAGCTCCAACCCCTGCCCCGGGCAGGGACACCTTCCACTAGAGCAGGTTGCTCCAAGCCCCTGTGTCCAACCTGGCCTTGAACACTGCCAGGGATGGAGCAGCCACAGCTTCTCTGGGCACCCTGTGCCAGCGCCTCAGCACCCTCGCAGGGAAGAGCTTCTGCCTAAGGTCTAACTTACATCTTCCCTGTTTACATTTAAACCTATTGTGGGGGCAACACTGGTATGTGTGTGGAGGAGGGTTGTGGAGCCTCCTCTCTTGAAATCTTATTCTAGTTCCTGGACAGAATTCAGTACACACAATATTCACTCTACAAGTGATCTGTGGTGAATCTCTTGGCTTGAACAGGGGTTTGAACAGGGCAGATACCCCAGGATTTGATGGTGGTGAGGTGCTGGCACAGGCTGCCCAAAGAGGTGGTAAACACAAGCAAAGTGCTCAGGGCCAGGTTGGATGGGGCTTGGGCAACAGGGTCTGGGTGCAATGGGAGGTGGGCGAGCGGGGACCTTCAGCTCACCCCTGTGCCCCACTGCAGGGAGCCAGCTGAACCAGGCCGTGCTGCGGCTGTACTACAACCCGCCCAGCGTGGACGCGGTGTTCGGGACCATGCCCAACCTGCAGCTCCAGGACATCTTCTACAAGAGCAAACCGCGGTACCTGCGGCGCACGAGCTCCGCCGTGTGGAACTCCCCCCCCTTCCCGCGGGCCAAGCCTGCGCTGGGGCTGCCGTACAGCATCAAGAAGTACTGAGGGACCCGGGTATGTGCTGCTGGCTCCGAGGGGAGCAGAGTCCGGTTCAGTCTGTAAATCTTCAGGTATTAGCATTGAATAAATGTCAGCTCTTACTGGGCCTCGTGCATTTTCTCTGTTAGGCAGAACTGGAAGCTTTTGGGAGATGCAGCCTTGGAAAGAGGCATCTCCTCTTACCCTTAGCTTTGAGCTGGCAAAGGTTTAGACCTTTAGGTCATGAGTGCATCACTGAAAGCTGTATGTGATGCTCCCCTCTTCAGCCAAGCAGGCCTGGTAGGAGCTGCCAGCGGCAGACAGAGGTTATGTGTCTGTCCTGTGGCTGAAGCCAGAGTTCTTGTGCAGTTCAGAGCCACTGCACGCGTCTCGGGTGAAGTTAGGGCACTGCTGGTGTTCTCCAGGAGATACTAGATATCAGTATCTCCAGAGGATACCACCAGGAGTGGCCTCCATCATCCCTGCAAATTGCAAAGCCGTGGTGTGGTTTCATCTCCCAGCAGTGAACTTCACACCAGCCCCAAGAGCCACCATGTGCACGAGCTGCACTGGTGCTGGTGGTGCTGAGGGTTGTATTGACCCTTCTTCAGCTGCTGGAGCCAGGCGTGACCCCGGGGTGCTCGTGTCACCGGGGCACCTGGGCTCCATTAGGAGAAACTGTACAAAGGTTCTGGTAGAATATTGTTCCTCTGATTGAAACCCCGTGTCTGTGCCCAGGGTTGGTGGAAAGACATGAGTTTAACCTGAATCCCTCTTTCCCTCCCCACCCCTTGGCTCTTTCCTTTGTTCGGCATCAAAGCTGGTTTTATTTCTAGGCCTGTTCTGCACTTCTCCTCAGTGCAGCACCCAATGGACTGTTGTCAAAGCTAAATTTCAGTCCCAAGAGCACTTGGTGTTTCAGTCCTTCCTTGTACCCATGGCACGGACACACGAGCTCCTGCGCAGTGAGAGGGGTGGGCAGAACAGCACTTGCTCGCTGCGGGCGTTGCAGGGCACCAGTTTCCTGCTGTGGAATTCTGCAGCCTTCGTGGCTCTTCCCTCCTTCTCCTTTCTCTTTGCCTCTTCATCTGTTCTAAAGGGGCACCACCACGAGGCCAGGCTGGAGCGTGCCCGTGTGTGTACATACCCCTCGTGTTACACGTGTGTGAACCTTCTGTGTGGAGCCTGGGCAGGTGCGAGGGGCCCTGTGCCTCGTGTGTGCAGGGCACGGGCTGCCTGCAGGCGGATGCTGTTGGGGTGATGTGGGGTTTGTGTTGCCATTGCCTGCTCTCGGTTGGGGTTTGTGGCTGGGGGGTTGTTCCCCCTCATTCTCTGTACATCTAGTTTTGTACCTTACAATGAGCATGACCTGTATGTAAGAAAGCTTCTGTGTCAAATGCTGTTTGAATGTCTGACCCCGATAAAAGTGACTTAAACCATCTCCTGTGTGGCCTTGTCATAGCTCTGCACTAGGAAGCACCTGCAGCGGTTGGGATCCATCCTTTTGGGCTGCTTTTTGCACCGTTTCCTTAAGATGGGAACGTTCTGCCCAGGGAGAACCTCAGAGCTCCTCGCGCAGAGGGAAATGCTGCTGCTTTGGCAGCCCTGTGGAATTCACACATTGTGGAGGGCCAGGTGGGCTGATGGCACATCCCTGGGGATCCGTGCTGAGGCATGTGTGCCCGGAGCTCCTCTGGAGCTGACCCGGGAGCTTCAGGAAACACCAGAGCTCTGGTCACGGTGCGGGGCAGGAGCGCTGGTGCCGCTGCCGTGGGAAACGCACCAAGAGCCACACGTGGGAATTCCAACCTCGGGAGTTTTTCACTCCCTGTTCTGGGTGTTTCTTCATTCCTCACTGTTCACCCGGGAGCTCTCGGTGCGCATCCGTCCGGGCACAAGGTGATGCTGGGAGCAGGGCCCTGGAGGTGTGGAGCTGGTGAGGTCCTGCCCGGGGCTGGGTTTCAGTCGCTGTCACACGGGCAGAGCTCAGGCTGCTCCTGAGAGAACATGGGCTCAGCCACGGACCTGCTGTTACTTTGAACCAAGGCAGGTTCCTGGTTCCAGGCACAGACTGTTCCCTGCTCACTCTGCCCCCGCTCTGACATTCTGCTGCTGTTTTGCTTATCTCTAAGTTGGATAAAAGCAGAGGTGGCAATGGCAAGATCCACCTACCCCGCTGCTGCAGCTCATGCCCAGCAGATACCTACGGTCACAGAATGGTTTGAGTTGGAAAGGACCTTCAGATCATCCAGTTCCAACCCCCTGCCATGGACAGGGATGCTTCACTCTTGTCCATGTCGTCTGGCCTGGCCTACAAAATGCAGCAGGGCAAGCACGAAGCAGTGTCTCCCAGGTGGGTGAGCTTGGCCATCAGCCATTTACAGCACTTCAGTGGGGGGTAAATCACAACCTGATCTATATTGTCTTTTCTAGAGTGTTTCCCTGGAGCCACAGGGAATGTCTGGAGCCAAATGCTACCAACGAGAGGAATGGGGATGTTCCTGCGTGGTGAACGTGTGATCGCCCAGAGCTGGTGCCCTGTGAGGGTGCTGAGGCGCTGGCACAGGGTGCCCAGAGGAGCTGTGGCTGCCCCATCCCTGGCAGTGTTCAAGGCCAGGTAGGACACAGGGGCTCGGAGCACCCTGGCTGGAGCACGCCGGGGTCTGTCCAATGGTTTAGACCCGATTTTATCCTTTGATTGTTCAGGGATTAACATGAAATATTGTCGTTAATCAAAGTGGGTCCTCGTGCCCTGGTGGCGGCTGTTGCCAGCAGCAGGGAGCAGGAAAATCAGAGGCTTTCAGACATCCCCAGATGACAGTAAGTAGTTTACAGTGAAAATCGGGATTAGCGGTTTGTGCCAAGGGATACATATTTCTAAATGGTTTCCCACCTCCAGAGCCATCAGGGGCTGTGCAGGGGCTCGGGAAGATCCTTTTCATCCAAGAGCATCTTTTAGGGGGGGTTCTGCTTGTTTGGAGCAGTGAGGACCTCTGGTCTGCAGCTGATCTGCTGCAGTCTCCCCTCAGAGCACTGAGCCCTCAGCAGTGCTTGGCACAGGATCATCCGCCAGGGCCCAGCCTGGGGGGTAACGCCGGGATGCGCGGCCATGGCAGGATGGGATCCCTCCCACCCCAGGCCCTGCTGAGCTGTTGTCACCCACCGAGGCGAATTTGATTCACGGCAGAACTCAATGTCCTTTGTTTCACGCCAGAAGAACATGGAAACAGGCCTTTTCAAGGGCTCCCTCATTCCCTCCCTGTGGGATCAGCTCCAGGATGCGGAGACCGGGATGAGCTCCTGCCAGAGCAGCTGCTGGTGAATCCCTGGAACTCACAGCTTGGAATCTGAGCAGGGACCAGCAGGGACCAGTGGGAAGCAGGGACCACCAGGAAGCAGGGAGCAGCCTGTGCCCTGCGGACTTGCACCACTTGAAGTCGTTCTGCTTTTCCCCCGGGGGCAATGAGCCCCCAGCACAGCTTTGCCTCTCGCTGTGTCCTGCTGTACAGGGTCTGGCTCCACTTGGGAAGCATTGCAGCCTGCTCCTGGGGGAACAGAACCTGGTTTCTAAGCAAACAGGAAAATAAACTCCCTTTCCTCCTCTTTGGAATCCTCCACAATCACTTCACTCTCTAAGACGGACGTGGGGGACCTGCCCCAAACTGCTTCATCGCCTTTAACTGCAGTGCCAATGGGTTTGAAACCCTCAGCTGGAAACCAGGGAGTGGCAGAAGCACCTGAGAGGTGAGCAAGCGAAGCTGAGGCCAGCACAGATCAGGCTCAATCCTCAATAGAGGATTAGGGATACTGGGAGGGATTAATAGGACAGCAGGTACATAAGTGTTTCTGCCCGATGCTGTTGGCTGATGCAGGTAACACAGCAGATAACAGCATCCCCCAGGAGCCCGGCCGCGGGATCCTCACGGGCTGCCCCGTGCGGGTCCTGCAGAGCAGAGTCCCTCCATGCAGGAAGCACCTCCCGGCATCACTGGGCTCTTCCCTGGAGAAGGAGCCCAAAGGGAGGAGGTGAAAACGCTTTTGGGACCACACGTGAGGCAGGAATTCCTCCAGCCCTGAGGAGCACAGGTTGCAGTGGAGACCATCGGCTTTCCCTGTGGGACAGGAGGATGGAGCGCACGGACTCTCCTGGCTGCTGGAATTAGGGCTGGAACTTGGGAACCGGCTGATGCCACATCAGCTGCCAACAGGCCCTTGGTTCATCCTCACCTTAAACCCACTTCACTCTTGTAGAGCCCAGGGGTGACACTGGTGTTATTCTGGAGATTACCAGCATCGGATCCAGCTGCTGGTGCCCAGCTCATGGGGGCAGGTTCTCCATGCCCCAGTGGTGCTACTGGGCTGAGAGCAGCTGGAAAGCTGTGGGAGCAGCTATTGGAGATGTTCTTCCTTAATGGGTGGTTGTTTCCACCCCTGCAGCAGCCTCCTCATTGTACACAGATTATTTATATCAGAACATGATGCTCATGAGGACATGGGAGGTCCTGAAGGACGGGAACTGCAGGAGAGGAGCAGGGAAACAATAGAGAACCATTATGCAAGAGAGTTGGCAGTGGTTCTGCATGAACACCCCTTGGAAGCCTGGAAGGGAAGGGAACGTGGGGTTAGAACTGGGGGAGCTTTAAGGTCCCTTCAACCCCAGCCAGGCTGTGGTTCTGTGATAAGGGTGAGCTCTGCCATCTGCGCCCTTCCTGCTCATCTGCACTCACGCATTAGCATGATCTGCTGCAGCTTCTTTGCCGGATCTCTTGAAGCCTTTATATGCACTTTCTGAGGGTCAGTTTGGTTAAAACGAGGTAATAAAACCCCACTGAATCAGGAAAACCCCACATGAATAAAGGCGCATCTCAGGGCACACGTGAACTACAGCGCAGTGCAAAGGGTGGACACAGGAAGCTCTGGGCTGGGGGCTCCAGCTCTTTGGCCTGGTCCCTTGTGTCCCTGTGCCATGGGGGCTGTCTCAGCCCCTGGTGACCTGGGTGAGGGTCCTGGTGTCGGCCCATGTATTG